GGAACAACAGACACTGGGGAATCCTAAAGAGGGGAGAGAGGAGAGCATGGGCTGAAAAACAACCTATTAGGGACCATTGTTTGGATGATAGGTCTAATAGAAGTCTGAACTTCACCATCACACAATATACCCATGTAACAAACCTGCCTGCCTATGTACCCCCTTCAATCTAAAATGGAAAAAAAAAACACACCACAGTGATTATAAGTGTTTTAAAAAATTATGTATAAAACATTATGCATAAAATATTTATTCTACTATGCTCCACTCACCTAGTTTTCCCGAGAGGCAATTACTGTTACATTCTCTTGCTATCACTCCCAGAAGTAGTCTATACAAAAGCATATATGAGGAGAAACCCCCCCAAAACCGGAATTATCTTTTTTTGGAGGAGAGGCCCCTTGTAGTACACTCAAAATTTATTCCTCTGGATCAGTCAACAAAAGTTTTTAATCTGGAAGTTTTGAGAAGGTTGTGTCATGATTTGCAGAAGAACTATCCCAAGTTGTGGCAAACAGGTTACTGGTTCTTAGCTGTCCACACCATACTGAGTAATCAGTAGTTTCTGACCAAAAACTGGCCTGACTCCCATGCTCCACCCTCCCTATTCACCTAATCTTGCCCAGAGAGACTGTTTTTTGGTTTCCTCAGTTGAAAAAAGTCCTCAAAGGGAAACGTTTTGCCAGTGTAGAAGAGGTGAAACAAAAAAACAGCAGAAACACTAAAAGGCATCAAAATTGACAAGTTCAAAAATTGTTTTGAGTAGGGGAAAAGTGTCTTGATAAATATATTGCATCAAACAGAGAAGACTCTGAAGATAACTGAAGTTTAACCATGTAAGAATGAATACACAATTTTAAAAAATAAATTCTATGAGTTTTTTGCCCCTCTCCCCCACTCCCACACCTAATTGACATGGGCAGAGCAAACAGTGAGCCTTGCTCACAACAGTGTATGAGGCTGCTTGTGTTCAAAAGATTCTACTCTCAACCCCTCTGGTTCTCCTTTATTCAAGGCCACATGTGGCCCTTTACTGAAGAGGATGTCGCCTGGGTTGGAGGGCAGTGGCACAATCATGGCTCACCACAGCCTGACCTCCTAGGATCAGGTGATCCTTCCATCTCAACCTCCGGAGACCTGAGCTGGGACTACAGGCACATGTCTTTATGCCTGGCTAATTTTATTTATTATTTTGAGGAGACAAGGTCTATGTTGTCTAAGCTGGTCTGGAACTCCTGGTCTCATGCAATCCTCCTACACTGGCTTCCTAAAGCACTGGGAATGCAGGTGTAAACCACCAATACCTGGCCAGAAAAGTCACATTTGACCTCATACTTTAGAAGAATGATAGGCTTCTACACTGGCAATCCTTCACTCAGAATGTTCTTCTCTAGGTATCTGCGGGATTAACTTCCTCCTCTTCAATGTCACCCCCTCTTAATGTCACTTAACTACCAGGTTGCCCTAATCTTGCTATTTTTTTCCATCACATTAATCAACTAAGACACTATATAGTATACATTTAAAGCATATTATTGATCCTTCACTACTAGAAATATGAGCAGGTTTTATTTCTATGTGTTCATTAAGCACCTAGAACAATCTGCACAATGTATGTGCTCAGTATTCAGAGTGAATTTATTAATATTGTGTTGCCATTGAAAAATAATTGAAATTACAGACAACTAAATTAAAAATATTTTTAGGACATAATTAGTTAAGGTCTTTGAAAACAAATTAATGGATGCCAACTAAAATGGTCAAAACAGAGCAAAATATCTGCTAGATTTCAATCTTGTTCACTCCTCAGGGAGAGATGAATGCAGGCAGTGGTAGTTAAGAAAGCTAAGAAAACTTATATACAATCTTGAGAGATTGCTTAAATGTGAATGGACAATAGTAACTAGCAGAATCCAAGAAAAGGCAAAGGCATTAGGGAAGACAGAAAGTGCATGAGAAAGACAATGGAACTGACCAGAGCAAAAGATTCAAATTGCAAAAGAGTGGAAAATAAAACTACATAGATGTTCTACAAGCATTTCCCCCCTCCCCTAAGGGCAAGAATTTGTGCAATCTACTTTCAAAGCATGCAAATCCTTTACCTCAAACAATCCTAATAAAGGAGATACTGTCTCTCACATTCCAGATAAAAACATGGAAGCTCTGAAAAGCTTAAATCCCAAAGTCAAATGGAGCCTGGAGTCAGACTCAGACCTGTATGACTTTAAAGTGCAAGCCCTTTCCACCACTGCTTCACGAAGGACATAGTCAAGAACAGAGAAAAGATTCAAGAGCCTTAAATGGTACAAAAGCAAAATGCTATACAAGGTGCTCACTGTAGTCTCTTAAGCTTAGAAATGAGGAGAGGGGAAAAAATGTCATTCCAAAAGATTAACCTAGTAGTATAAGAGATGGATTAGAGGAGAAAAAATCTAGACACAAGACAGTCATTGACTGCTTCCATAATGAACCATATAACCCAGCACTTTTAAAGTACTGCATTCTCTACTAGTTCTACAAGCCACTTGACTTTTCAATGCTTTAAGGATACTTCTTTTATAAGCCCCACTGTACTGTATTAATTAAATACTTAGTAGGAAATTCCTGATTGTCTATAGTGATCAATTAACAAATTTTACACAGGTAAACAAAAATGTCAGATATTTGCTTATGCATCAAATTTACAAATCTAAATCTTATCATTTCATATCTGTATGAAGTTAAGGTCCTAACTGCTCAGCCTCCTTCCAATGTTTTACCCTCCATTTCACCCTAAAAAGGGATACTCAATCAACCATATATTAATTAATGCATATTTATAACATGAAGTTTTCCTGACCAAGAATCCAAATGGTTTATTATTAATAAACCATAATAAATCCAAATTTCTCTGTCTTCTACATGCCTCCTTCTATCATCTCATCTAACATCCTATTCTCTCCAAAAGAATCATTCATGCCAGTCTCCTCATTGTGACACAAACACAATTACTAACACTTGCTACCCTGAAGTTACTTATTTTCAAAACAGAAATGCCTCTTTCCATTCTCTCATTTAACATTCAACAATCCATTAAGGAACAGCTCAAAATCTACAATTCCCCACAAAGCCCTTTATATGAACCCTATGACACTTAAAACATGTTCCAAACTAGAGACCACACATGACTTGTGTTTGGCTCATATTTTTTCAAAACAAAATTTTATTCCACTGACCAAAAGTTGAAAGTTGGGACATACTAAATTTTAAATAACTCAATTTCCAGCTTTTCATGAAGAAAATTAGATATTCTGGCAACGATAGGATCATATTCTCACCCAGTCACAATCATTTGCAGTTGAGTGGCAGCTGACCCCTTCCACAGGTTCTTAAGTATCCATTAATGTTAACTGTCTGACCTCTGAGACCACACCTTTAGCACCTGACTGCCTGTTATGTGCCAGGAACTCTGTCACTGGAGTTACAAAAATAAACAAGACAAACATAGGCCCTCCCCCACAACCTACCTTAGTAGGGATAGCAAAGAGACAGACAATTGGGATACATGTGATAAATGCTATGGGGGAAGTACAGGGCACTTAAGAGTACATGGCAAGGATATGCAACTCTATTTATGGAAGTCATGGAATACCCCTCAGATAAAGTTAATGTTAAACTCAGATCTTTAGCTGGAGTAGGAGTTATCCAGAAAGAAATAGGTGGTACAGGGAGTTAAAATGTCCCAGAGAAAGAAAAGTTTGCCTTTGCAAAGACACTAAAGGGAGAAAATGTATTTTGAGCAAGTAAAATCAGTTTGATATGTCTAGAGCCATGCTCAACCTTAAATGCAGGTGTCAAAGAAAGGGGTCAATTAAAACAGTTCACAGAAAAGGCCACGTGTTAGTTAAGGTCAGGAAATGAGAGAGAATTTCAGTAAACAAAGTGAACACGTAAAAGAATTCAGTAAGCAGGAAACAGAGGTTTCAGAGAGCACAGCCGGGGTGTTGAGGGGTGAAATGGGAAAGAAAAGGAGAAGGAGTGATAGTTTAAGTCAAGAAAGAGGAAGCACAAAGCAGCATGGGGATGAGAGTATAGCACAGACGACCAAAGGGGCTTACATCTTGGGCGGTAGCCAAGGATAACAGGGATGTGAAGCATGGTAGGTTTGGCTGGCCACAAGTTTGCCAAGAGACTTAGTCCCACAGGTTCCCTGGCGGACGCGGAGGCATTCAGGCCTCTCAAAATTCAGCTGCACCCTGGACGGATTGCGCTTCGGTCTCTCTAGAAGACATCGGCTTCAGTCTGGATTGATTGTGCAGGCTCCAGGAGAGGCTCTGGGTTCCAGGCTGCTGGCACGCAGGCTCCCAGGGAGTGGTTAGAGGCCTGGTCTGTATGTGCTGGTGGGTAGAAGTTAAGTATAAACTACCTTGCATTATTTTCTGATTTTTCTGTAGGAATGATGGCTCTGTTAAGATCTCATATAGGAAAAACAGTGCGTGCCATTACATATTTACAGAAAGAGAAATGTGCCAAGAAGTTCAACATCTGTCCACATTAATACTAAAGATGAGTCATTCTGTGAGGCCAACTCTCCCCAAGTTGGTCTTGTCGCCCCAACTAGGCTAAGATCTCCGCCAGAAAAAAAAAAAAAAAAGCCTGTTTTACACTTTTTACAGCTCTCAAAGTGCCTAATACCGAGCCCTGGGTACGTCGAACACATTCAGTAAAATTACAGACTTCCTGACTGATCTCGAGTCACTGAAGTTACCGAGCTCAGTCTTGTTTTTTGCATATTAATGCGCTAAAAAGAAGCGAACCTCCACCTTAGCCTCAACATTCCTTTATTCCAAACTCCACTGCGTCTGTCCACCCTCAACCGCATGGGCAGAATTGCTGCACGAGTCAAAGCCAGCAGGACTCTCCAAGACCCGCCACGGAAAATGCCCGCCCCCTCCCCCTGGATGTAGCAGCTGCCCACGCGTCCTACCCATCCATGTCTCAGAAAGGTAAAATGTTCTCACCGACTCTGGCCCGTCGGGAGACCCCGTAAACGTAGTCGTCCGCTGGCCGCCGCTATCCCAGGTAGGCACTTCCGGCGCGCGCGATGACGTAGACAAAGCGCCCGCCTCTGGGCCCGCCTCCAAGGCCCGGAGGCGCAGAACCGGGAACGGCAGGGGGGCTGCCACCGCCTTGTCTCTGCGCCCGACATACCGACATCTCCTAGGATCCGTGATGTCAAGGCCGCTCCGGTCGGCGAGGAAGAGTAGGGGTTAAACCCCTGCTGAGCCAAGGGCTCGTGCTCATCTGGTCTCCCGGGCCCGTCCCACCTGAAGGTAAACGCTTCCTCTGCTGAGGCCTTTCATCGCGACGGGTCCCCTCCCCAAAACCGATGGCCAAACGACTCGCCCCTCTCTCCTGCCACCTCCTAATTCCGGGACCTTAACCTTTGCTTGCCCTCGCAGTCCTCAGCAGATCGTCTAACGTATAGTTGCAAATGAGAAACTTTTTAAAAGCGACCTATCGATGTTGAGTTCCAGAAATGCTCTAAATAATTCCCCCCAAACACCAAGCATCAAGCCAGTTTCTCATATTTCGTGAATTGATTGGCATGCCTTAGAATCAATATTTTGCTATTTGTGATTGTTCGTCTCCCCGTCTCAAATACGTGGACACCACACGCCCTGTTAAAGTCGAAAACTTGAATTTGATTAAATCTGATATAATTTTCACGGTAATTTGCCTACTTTGTAAAATGAGATGTGAAAATTATTTGTGAAATTTGTAGACTTGAAAACATATATACAGGGATGTCTCTTCAGGGCACTGAGCCTATTTATATAATACATGCATCATTTCATAATATGGCAATAATAAGCAAAATGAGTGTTTCCAAAGAACTTTATATTGTCAAAATATGAGACTTCAATTTCCTCCTTAACGTTATACTGAATGGTGGAAAAAATTTTTTTATCTTATCATCTCTCCGGAGAAAAATATTAAGTCAACCAAAAGAGGTACCCAACCACAGTACAGGCATACACAGGATAACAATGTTTTGGTCAAGTGACAAACCACCTACACTACAGTGGTCCTGAAAGATTAAAATTCATTGTATCATATTTTTAACTGCACCTTTTTTATGTTTAGAAACACAAATATTTACTATTGTGTTATAGTTGCCTATAGTATTCAGTACAGAAACATTCTATACAAATTTATAGCCTGGGAGCAATAGGCTATATCACATAGCCTAGGTGTGTAGTAGGCTATGCCACCTAGGTTTGTGTAAGTACATTCTATGATGTTTGCACAACGATGAAATCACCGAAATATCTCCTGTATTAAGTGCCACATGACTATATTAGCAAAAATCAGTGGCTACGGTTTTTTCTGAGCCCCCAGGGCAAAAGTATAGATATTATACATATACTGTACATATTCATGAGAGCATTTTTTACTCTTAGCCTAAGAAGTCATTAAGAGTAGCCTAACAGTTTTTCTTTCGAATGTTTAAACCACCCCTCTCCATGCACTCACAGTCCACCAATGAAAGGGTTACTACAAAGAATCTACTTTTTTAAAAAGACCAAAAACCATTTTTAGGTAGTAGCTGGGGAATTAATTCACCAAGGTGGAGTCATTCTTCCTAACTTCCTAAAACGTAAGGAAGGTGTATAAGTCTGGCACAATTAAATCAGTGATTGATAATATTGTGTTGGTTTGCTTTTTGGTTTTTAATAATACCCAGACTGGTCTGATGTATTGGTTTTATTTGAAATTAAAAATACCTAATTTAGATTGTTTATGGGTTTATTTGTCTTCCTTTTTAGAAATGAGTGGTGGATTGGCTCCAAGTAAGAGTACAGTGTATGTATCCAACTTGCCTTTTTCCCTGACAAACAATGACTTATACAGGGTGAGTAAATAAGTACATTGTAATTCACTTAAAATATTACTACCAATATTGAAAATATGAATAAATGAAAAAAATTAGAAACTTTTTCAAAGACAGTTTACAGTGCCTTCGTATAGAACAAGTGCTTTATAAACACAGAAGATACAACTAACATAATTAAGTGGGAGCAACTTCTGATAAGCTGACTTTTCCTGTTTGCTTACTTTGCTTTTTCTTTTTTTTAACTTAACAACCCATGTGATAATATTACTTGCCTTTTGAAACTGGTAGCGGGATGGAGGTTTTGGAGGAAAGGACTGATAGGAGTAAACAGATCCCTTTTTAACCCTCAAGTTCTGAAAATATATCTTAGTTTACATATGGATGGAAGCTTTACAGTTTGTTTTCAGTTCAGGATAAGGGTGATTGAAGTGGGACAGCCCTTCCATCATATTTTTACCTCTTTATCTTACAAAGAACAAAATTTTCTACTGTACCTGTCCTGTAGTAGCAAGGAACTGGGAGAAATGACATGACTTCCTTCTCCCAAGTGCCCAGTAAAGAATACAGGGGAAATTAACTTTAATTTCCTTGTATCATAATAGAGACTTACCGTATTTACTGAATATGTTAGATACTAAGGAGATTATAAGATGTTAGGTGCTAAGGAGAAGAAATAAAGCAGGAGAGAAGGGCTATTAAATGTTAAATTGGGAATGGAGTTAAACGTTTAGATAGGGTGGTCAGAAATGCCCTTATTGAACAGGTGATTTTTGAATAAAGACCTGAAGCAGGTAAGAGGCAACTGTGCAGATGTCTAGAGGACACGCATTTCAGGAGAGGAGGGGTAATCAGAGGTAGGCCCACTCAAGGGTTGCCTTAGAAGGGCTATATAGATCATGGGAAGGAAGCTGGCCTTCACTCTGAGTGAAATGAGAAGCCATAAGAAAGTGTTATAAGAAAGGTATACTGGCCTTCAGAATCCAGTGTTGCTAACACTGCAATCCAGTTTTGCCACATTCCGGTGTTACACAACTTAATCATACAACTAAAAAACGTGTTATTGTGGGTTGCACTTATAAACATACTGTAAAGACTGTTTGAATAATGAATAGGAACTACTAGTATATAAGTGATGGCAGAAACTAGAAATAGATGACATTGCTTAGGATGAAGATGTAGAAGGAAGAAAGGACCAGCTATAAAGCACCACCAACATATTAATGGTAGGCAGAGGAAGGAAACTGACAGAAATTGATTTTTCATTATAAAAGTGTTTTTTTTTTAATAAGTAGTCTAAGGATCTGTCTTATCAAACAGTGATTGGTTAATATGGTGGGTATAAATAGGAATAGTGATATTTCATAACATTATATTTGAAGTACAATTTTAGCCGGCACTGTTTGTTTTATTGATAATTGCTATGGGTATGCCTCAGGAACACAGTACCTGTCCTATGTGTATGTCTTAGATCTACCACATGTGTAAAGTGCTTTCTTCTCTGTATTCACTGTATTGTAGAAATTTAGGAACTGAGGCAGATACGTGTGGCTCTAATAACAGTCTCTAGACACCAAAAAAATATTTCTTCTAAGGCCTGCCTTATAAAGTCTAAAATTTTTCACAAAACATAACAGAATTTGGTCAGTGTGTACAACCTGGAAATATACTTTTTTTTATTATTTTAAATGAAACTGTAAATTAATATATGGTCTTTTGTTTCAGATATTTTCCAAATATGGCAAAGTTGTAAAGTAAGTATTCACATTAAATTTTGAAACTTCATGTAAAAGTGTATCTGGCCAAGCGTGATGGCTCATGACTATAATCCCAGTGCTTTGTGAGGCTGAGGTGAGAGAATTGTCTGAGCCCATGAGTTTGAGACTATCCTGGGCAACTTGGCAAGACCTTGTCCCTACAATAAATAAAAAAATTAGCCAGGCGTGGTGGCGATGCACCTGTAGTACCAGCTACTTGGAAGGCTGAGGCGGAAGGATAACCTGATCCCAGCAGGTGGAGGCTGCGATGGCCTTGAGCATGCCACTGCACTCCAGTCTGGGTGACAGTGAGACTCTGACTCAAAAGAGGAAAAGAAAAAGTGTATCTGATTTTGTTTCTCCATCATTTTTTTTTTTTTTTTTG